TGCTTCCTGTGATTTATGTTTCTAGCTGGAAATGGCATGTATCTGATTAACTTGGTCTTTCGGTTCCTTTTTAGGGAAGATAAATTAGTGGAGCTTGCTAAATCACTTATAGTAAATGCTGGAACTGAATCGGATGCTGACCTTGGTCCTGTGATTAGCAAACAGGTTGATAAATAGACTAATTCCGTAACCATATATAGTTGCTGCTCCCCTGTCACTTCTTTTTCCCGCTTAAAAATTTTACGCATTTGGCTTTTCTGTTGTATCCACAGGCAAAGGAGCGCCTATGCAGATTGATTCAGAGTGGTATTGATAACGGTGCCAAACTAGCACTTGATGGAAGAAACATTGTGGTACATCTTTCGTGTCTGTTTCTTGCTTTTCGTGTCTGTAATCTCTGTTACTTTTCCATGCCCGCAATTGGTTCCACCAAAATAATAAACTCATAAATATCAAATATCCAGTAGTACTTGTCAATTTGACATCCTATAGATGGCAATCCAACCTAGTCTGCATCTGCATAACCCCGAGTCTGAGTTTGACCATGATTATGATATAATAGGCCACCAACTGTTGCTCATGAGATATTTCAAAATGTGCTTAATGACATCCCAATGACGTGACCGTGGGGCATCCTGGAATCTTTGGTTTGAAAATTGTTATGCAGAAACCATTCCAATCAATTGATGTCTTTACAAGCATCACCTGCAATTATAATGCCATCCACATACACGATCAACTTAAAACTATATCCAGACGATTGCAATCTACTGAACAGAGCATGGCCTACTCCTCATCTCTGGATGCCAAAATTAGCCAAAGCAAGCTCGAGGAGACTGTCTGAGCCTATGTAACTGTGACATGGTCGTGGGTTTCCTCAACCCTAAAAGTTAGCTATTTAGGTTAGGTAGCTTTCTTTCATATTATTGTGGTACTAGGCATTTCACTTCACACATTCCATCCGGGGGAGGAAAACTAAGTATCAATTCAATGGAGCGGAAGCTTCCTTTTCTGGTTACACCAAGGTTTCCTATTGAATTAGGCTTCTCATCGCAAACACTGTTAGTCTGTGACACAAATGAAGATTTGGAAGAGGCTGAACCTACAGCGCAGCCCCTAGGTCATTTTAACCAAGCTTGGCCTAGGGTATGGAGACCTTTCCCAGATGGAGAGTTATCCTGTGGAGTGTGGACTAAATAGATAAAAGCTGCTATGTGGTGATGGCAATTAATGCTGACGTAAGGAACTGAAACACGATCTACAAGTGTATTGGTTTCACTTTTTGAATGATGCTGTTATATATACCGGTCTCTGTTGTGATTTGTTTGAGATAATGAGCACCTTGTTGGGTTTTCTGTTGTTTAAATATCCAAGGTTTAATTTGATTTAATTGAGAATGACATATAGGTTCCAAGGTATGAACTGGGCAACTTTATTGGTCCTACCATATTATCTGACGTCAGAGTTGAGATGGAGTGCTACAAGGTAGCTTGATATGTGTGTAAATGGAACTTTCAAATTTTGCTGTATCATACCTAGTGGAAGGGTAGATTTGAGCCTTGACAACACTTGATCTTCGTATGTGCAGGAGGAAATTTTTGGCCCAGTGCTACTTTGCATGGAGGTTGGTGTGGCATTCCGATTTGTTTTTTTACCCATGTACTTATCATTGGCAATTTGATGCTATGATTTTCTTTTGTGCTTTTTACTCAGGCTGACAGTTTAGAGGAGGCCATAAACCTCGTTAACAGAAACAAGTATGTCCCAATCTTATCTTATCTTGAGCACCCTAATGATTTTTAACTTACTGAAGCATTGTGTTTTCATGTTATATATTAACCTGCTTTCTCCGAACAGATATAGCAGTGGAGCTTCCATATTCACAACATCTGCTGCAGCTGCTAGTAAATTCCAGAGTGAGATTGAGGCTGGGCAGGTAGGACAACACTTCTAAGCATGTCCTTTTTCTGGTTCAACAAATAGCACAGATTCTTTAAAATTGTTTAGACCGTTGACTGCTTGAATTATGTTTGCAAACCAGCGATAGTCTTTTTTGAATTTTTTTGTTTTGTTTTTACTATATGGTGATGTTTGATGCTAGTTTTCTGTTATCTGATGGTGTAAAGATACCCATCCCCTTCATAATCATATTTACATGTCATATTTACCATACCTGAATTTTAGTTTTTCCTTCACTTATATATGAACTACTGACATAAGCTTTATTTAATCCAGGTTGGCATAAATGTTCCTGTTGCAGCCCCACTGCCCTTTTTCTCTAACGGCTCCAAGGCATCTTTTTCCGGAGATCTCAATTTCTCTGGTAATAAATACTAACCGTGAAGTGAGAACATTCTATATATCTTCTTTCTGCTATGCAAGCAGTTTATACAAATGTTATCGATCCTAACCAATGAGTACATTACATATTAGCGGTGAAAACCTACCATCTACGAAGGAACACCAAAAGCGAGGGCAGTGCAAATACCAGTATAATTGACAACTATATTTGTTTCCGATATTTTTCTCTTCGATAGTGTATTATTTGGATATCTGGGACCTTTTCATCTAGTTTGCCATCATACCTGATGTCCAAACTCCAAAGGTTTAAGTTGAATGAACTTCGAAGAAAGTAAACAAAAGTCAATTTGTCTGCAATCTTCCTTTGTTCTTTCTTCTGTCTTTCCCAGTCTACGATGTAGTAGGCTGGATAGCGGGTTAACCATTCTGGCCGGATAATCAGGCCCAACTCGACGCAGGCCCAATTGACGAGATGACCAGAGCCCATTGGCGACCGGGAGGGTCACCCACCCGGGGCTCAGCGGCCGGACCGAGGTATCAGATCAGGTCATGCACGGTCACATTCCACATATGATACTATACGCTGCATCTACCTGCCCGGCCATGTGGAACGGTCAATTGTCTTTTGACAGCTGGGCACTCTGGCAGGGGGGAACATGCGGGTGTGGTACGTTCCGGTCCAGCCGTGTGGCACCGGTCTAGTCGTGCCATGTGGCTCAGTCATACAACGTACCACAGCATGGTGCTTGCTGAGAATATGGTCTGGTCGCATGGCACCATCTGGTCCTGCCATGTGGCCCAGCTGTGCAGCGTACTGCAGCATGGGATTCCATAATCGCAGGGACTGGCCACGTGGCTCCAATCTGGTCTTGCCATGTGGCGTGGTTTCCTCCCTCACCATCGGGTGCAGCGTTGAGCCAAGCGTCACCACGGCACATGCCCGGCACGCGCGGTCTTGACCTCCAAGGCAAGGCACTCCTATAAATACAACAGTATAAATCCTAGGAAGGTATGCCTTCTTCTCCGAGCTAAGTTCTGTGATTTCACTCTCTTTAGCTCAGGGCTAACTTAATCATCAGAGTGCCTTCCAGCCACCTTCGGCCCGCTAGGCACTAATCGGTTGTTCCTTTTGCAGAGCTAGGTGGAAGAGTGGCTTACCCAATACACCCATGTTCCAGGGGGTTCGAAGGAGAGGGGAGATCTGAATTGAACACCACCCCACAAACCAATATATAAAAAAAACACTAATAACAGCCATCAAAAGTGCGATCTATAGAATTTTCATCCATATACTTGGACATATAAACATATTGATAACTTATGCGTAGATTTTTTCTAAAGTATGCATAAGGGGTGCATAAGACAAGTTTTCCTGGGCACGTCTGAATATAGGGACTGAGACAATGATAAGAGGGTCTCATGTATTTTGTTTACACATATGTCAGAGAATCATCCAAGTACCTTTTGACTTATGTTACGGACCACTGTCAATGGATTTGCTTTGGTGTCTGTCAGTGGTGTGGGTATTAGGCTGTTAGCTAAGGGTTAATTCCAAAATAGTAACTCTGGAGGTGGAAAGGGAGGTTGGCTGGCTGGAAACAGGATATCATGGGAAAACAGGTGAAAACGCTTCTTGTTGTCTTCAATCTCCATGGTTGGATGATGTAATGTTGATTAGTTAACTGAAAAATCAAAGTTTTGTGTCCTTATTTAAGCCTAAATACCTGTGCTAATATACAATACCACTACCAACACTTCAATATAAACATTAGACTTATTTTAGGATAAATATCGTGATGAATACATAACACTATCATTATACACAATATGGTATGTAGTCTGATACGATTTTGAGAACCTTTAGACTGTTTTATTTATTTATTATTATTACAGATTTTTTGAAGATTAATTGGGTGGCAATGTTACTTTGCAGGCAAGGCTGGACTACACTTCTACACCAAGGTCAAAACAGTGACTCGACAATGGCAGGATTTTCCTAGTAGTGATGGTGTATCCTTGGGAAATACAGAATCCTTGGCTTTTACAACTTCTGATGGATCACAACAAATCCAAGATGCTTAAATCATTATGCTTCCAGCTGTGGGTTTTCCTTTATCCTTTATTTTTTTGTTTTTTGTAGTTGTATTTGCCTTCTTTTTTCTTCTGTGTATTGTATGAACCCTTCAATGATTCATGGACTCTTCCCTTTGCCTTCTCTGTTATCTTCTCTGTATAGTGTATCCTTACTCACTTTTATCCACTTTTTTTTTATTTGTAATGTACCTTGGAACCCATTTCGTAACCTTGCTTGTAAGTTTCGTTGATTTATTTGCTTATTTCGTGTTTGAATCTTTGCTCATTGTTGTCTTGATTCAAATGCAAATAAATAAATTAAACAAACAAGCATGAATGACGAACTACCAAACATGCCCGTACTTGGGACCTCTTCATTACTTTCTTGGAAGCAAGAAATACAACCACCATCAGCCATAGCGCAGTAGTTGTGGCTGAGTTGCAACTCTGAAACCCAGAACAAGCAGAACCGCTGCCCAGATGACCTAAGCGCGGAAGAAAGTTGCACTTTCCAGATGACCTAAGCGCGGAAGATCCCCTTTGGGAATGAAATCTGGCTCTGCCCTCTGTACCAGCTTTCATAGAAAAGAGGGGGTTAAATTGATGTATTGATTGATTGGATCCGACGGGACTGACGAGGCTCGAACCCACAGCTTTCACCTTGACAGGGCAGTGCTTTGACAAATTGAACTACAATCCCAGGTAAATAAGGGATATATCCGAAAATTAAATTCTTTTTTATTCCTCTGTATCAGGTATTTATGGACAAGGGGTTATTCCATCTCATGATAGATTGCCAAATTTTTTGGGCCGAGCTGGATTTGAATCAGTGTAGACATATTGCCAATGAATTTACAGTCCGTCCCCATTAACCGCTCAGGCATCGACCTAGGAAGAATCCAGTTTAGGCTTATTGGTAATCCATGATCAACTTCCTTTCGTAGTACCCTACCCTCGGGGGAAGTCAAATCCCTGCTGCCTCCTTGAAAGAGAGATGTCCTGAACCACTAGACGATGAGGGCATATTTGTCTGACTGCCATCATACTATGATCATAGTATGAACAATTTCTTGAAATTGTCAATATAATGTAATGAAATGGTATGATTAGGTCCAAGGCCTCTTTCCATTTTTTATAATTACGAATGCGGTAAAAGGAATTTCTGCCATCTCGATCGTAGAAAAAGAATATAACCAAGCAAAAGGTTTTTCATAATTTCATTTTTTGATTATGACTTGAACGATTGATTAGTCCGTGCAGATGCCTTTATCTATCCGACACATTGGAATTAACAATCAAATGTGTCTTTTGTTCCATCCACCGTGCAAGCGTCATAGAAAGGATAGGCTAGTATCAAGCATCAGGAAATTGCCAATGGACCAAATATGCATCACCAAGTCATGTCAGTCCTCATCTAATAAGGACCTTTAATGAGGTCCTTAAATGCGAACCTCATAGTTCGGAGCCTTCTAGGTCATATTTTGATGATCCAAACTATTCAACTTGTTTAAAATATGTTTTCAAGGGTACCTACAAGAAATAAGCTCAAAATATAACCAGAAAATGCTTGACCCGAACATAAGATCCACAAAACAGTTATTGTCAAGCTTTATGAACAACTATTTGGATCAAGTACTTTCCGGTTATATTTTGAGCTGATTTCTTAAGGGTGCTCTTAAAAACCTGTTTTATACAAGTTGAACGACTCCGATTTTTAGCGTGAGGCTCCAAACTATGAGGTCTGGATTAAAGGACCTTCTTATGGGGGATCTCTCATTTTGCTAGATGCAGACCTTCTATTTTCGGGTCATATTTTGATGATCCAAGATTCCAAATCGTTTAACTTGTTTAAAATATGTTTTTAAGAGTATCCGTGAGAAATCAGCTCAATATGACTGAGAAGTGTTTGATCCAAACAGTTTTTCATAAAATAGTTCATGTCAAGCTTTATGAAAAACTATTTGGATCAATCACTTTCCGATCATATTTTGAGCTAATTTCTTGTGTGTACCCTTAAAAACATGTTTTAAACAATTTGGATCATCAAAATATGACTTGAAAATGAGAGGTGCACATTTTAAGCAAAATGAGGGATCTCTCATTAGATGCTTGTGTGTGTATTAATTAAAGCGAAGGTTCTTTAGTGAGGAGGAACGTGGATGCAACAAGTGGCACGAATTAATTGGCTGACAAAAATTAATTTCTACTTTCTTATTTCTTACATAATATGTGACCCAAAAAAATTAATACCTTATATTGTGGGATAATCAATTTTGGTTGACCTATCCTTAAATTGTGGGATAATTGTTTTGGAATTTAATACACCTTACATGGCTATTTCCACTACAAATATGGAATTCTCTTCCTTCCTTGATCTTACTTCGTTTGATTTTTAAAGAGTTTTAAATTTTGAAGGTCAAATGAAGTTAAAAAAAGAAGCATAATAATACATTAAAATGTCTCCTCTAAATTTCACAACTCTGACAACCACTGTCTAGTGCAGTTGGTATGTTATCTCTCTCCTATGAGGAAGGTCCTGGGTTCGACTCCTGCTGGAGCAATACTCTTGGGGTCCCAAGTTATGGATAGCTTCTGAACTTCGTACTAATCCTAACACCCCCACTAACCCCCGCTGATGTATGACGATTGAAAAAATAAAAATTCACAAATCTGGCACCCTGCCATTATTTATTGTAACGGACGCATTCAATATTTTGTGCACTTCTATACTATATATCGAAACAATATATTAAGCGAAAGGGGTCCTCTTTTCTTTTCTTTTCTTTTTTGGCAAATGTGACAAGTTTGTATTCCACTGTGAGCCAAAAAACCCATACAACATAGAGGAATCCCATGGGGGCAAATGGGCGTCCACAGACTGGACAAACCATTAGAGAGGGCAATCAAAGCACCGTATGTGCAGCCCTATTTCAAACTCACCTAGTGAGATCAGGTTCGCAGAAAATAATACTAATATCAAGCATATGACCAACAAACCATCAGACTAAATCTGGACACAAACTGGACTAAATCCAGACAAAATGAAATAAAGCAAGAAATACACTCTCCTCCGTCATTGAGTAGCCCTTCTCTTGCCTAGCCCCCTACCGATCAAGCTCCCAAGCCAACGACCCAAAAAACCATCGGCGACCACGCGGCTCCAAACCCAGAAAGTGCGGCGGTGGCGAACGGCAAGCGGTTTTGGTGGAGAAGGAGAAAGGGAAACCAGTTTTAAAGGAAGTGATTAGTCCCGCCCCTCTCACCACGCAAATTAGGGTATAAACCCGAGGGGGAAGGAGAAGAGAAAGTGCGGTGGCTGTTTTAGGATTAGAGAGAAGTGCTCCTGTTTTGAGAGAGAAAGGCGAGGACCCATAGAAATGACAAAAAAGTTAAGAATGGAGAATAAGCGAAAGGGGTCCTTTAGTGAGAAGGCCTCACGTGATGACAAGTTATATGCATTGAAAAAATCTTAATGAATTTGCTAGTTATAATGAAATAATAACTCGAAGTATAAGAGAATCAAATTGCTACATGATTATTTTAAATTTAAATAATGTAACGCTTCCTCAGTGGAAAAAATCCATTCTTACCTATGATATTGTTGGAATCGGGATTCGTTTATCACTGAAAATTCGCTACACACCGAAAAGAAACTATATTAGAGAACTTAATGGACCAATTTCAGGCGTCCAGAAATTGGCAATCGAGACTAGTATTTTATGGATAATACTATATCCTTAAAGCAAATTCGTCCCCCACACCGGTGCTCTTGGGTCTCTTGAATGTTTGCCTCCCAGGATTACCCAATTTTCGAAGAACAGAAGTAGCACTACAATCTGTTCAACGGGCGAACGCAAACTTGTGCAGTACTCTCTCGCAGACTCAATATAAATGCAATGTATGTGCTTTGTACTTTTTTCCGGTATCGAAAAAGATGGAAATGAGCCCTATTTATAGAGCATATGGTGACCTTTCATAGAAGGGAGGTGACTGATCGGAGACACCCAATCAAATGGGATACAATGGTTAACGACGAACAGATGTGAAACAGAGACACACCCTTTCGGTAACCCACCAGGTAATGCCAAGTAATTACCATGTAAAATTACTCCCATTTAGGAAAATCACTTTACCGTTAGAAAAATAATAAGTTTCACTTAAAACCTCCAAACAATTTCCGTAACAAGAATACATGTTTAATGGGTCCACCCTTTAAACTATAAACCCCATGTATTCTTTTGTTTCCCACCAACGAGAATTTAAGGTCCACCCATACTTCAACCAAACATCACGTGATTGTTTTGAAGTCAATTCTTATTCACTCTTAAATGGTTTTAATTTAATTAAGATTAAACCCATTTTATCCAACAATCCCCCACATGAATAAAATTGGCTGGATAAACAATATAATGTAAAATGCAGATGAAGCGAGAGTACAGTAGGAAATTTCTTGCATAGAGTAAGGTAGCTTTTGACTTTGAACCTCCCCTTGTGAGTTACTATCGGATTTACTAGCTAACCAGTGAACGTGATGTCTTGAACTGTTCAGCCGTTTGTGTAAACCAAGACAACAGTAGTCACACAGGATCTTTCCAAACACAATTTGGTTCTTACAGTTTTGCCCATTTTGGCCCTGGAACATCGCCTGGTTTCAAAGAGTGCTTTAGAGAATTTAGCCTTAAAGTTCTCATAGAAGCGGCCCACTTCACACTCACATAGGTGATTCTCATTAGGAGCATTTTGCTATACCCCACTTGGAAATTCCACAATATGAGAATCATTAAAAGCAAAGCTTAACCTGATACGTACGCTATAGACATCACTATTTCACCATAGGAATAAGTTGGAGAGATATCTCCTCAGTGATACTCCTAAATCTCATACAACTCGGTTGTCCCGTTGAACCTAGATCTTGGGATCTCCAGTCAACTAGGTTGGGTTGCCGTCATAGAGAACTTTTAGTTTGTAGGCTTAATCTCATTCCCCTCGATGAGCATTTGTTCTCTAGTCAAAACTCAAGTTTAACGGATCCGTAAATAATTCTTTTGACGTTTCAATCTCAAGTGAGAACAAATGTTTAACGGCGAGTTGTCTACAACATAAATATTGAGACAAGCCGTATTAGAAGGTCCTATATGCCTTTCAACTACTGATGGCCATCACATTTCAACTCTTGGCATATAATTGGACCATGTGGAGCATCCTCTAAGAATGGCTTGTGGCCACTCCGCATGCTAACTTTTGCCTAACACAATGGGTTGATCAGACTCCATTGTAGACCTTGCTATACACGTAGAGAATTTCAAAATTAATGTTGTACTTCAATTTTAATATTGAATCCACCTTTGGATTTCAAAACATTAATTAGATTATACATATCACAATACTTTCTCCTTCAAGTATTTTTAGATATCTCCAATAGTGCAACATATATTTTAAATTTGTGAAAATTATAAACATTGCTCCCCCCACAATTCTAAAATTAAATCAGAATTCATCAAATAATTTCCCAAGTTTATGACATGACTCAAACAATGTCTAAAGTTCCTCAGTAAGAAACAACCCCACATTGAATAACTCACCCAATATATCGAGTAACTCTTTACTCAAATACAAAGGTTTTAAAGCTATTTGCAACATGCATACTATGTATCCATACAGATGCAAGGCACAAAATGATATATCTCGTGGGGCGTAGTT